GGTTTTGGTTATCGGGAAAAAAATAAAATTTTCGGCCGGCCCCCCCCCCCCCGGCGCCCGGCGCCGGGGGCGCGCGGCCCACCCCTGCGCGCGCGGGCCCGGCGAGCCGCTCCACCGCGCGCGCCGCCGCCGCGCCCTGCTGTGTCTCGAGCGCGTACCGCAACGCCGGCTGCACGCGGCTCGCCGCGAACGCGAACAGGTACGCGAACGAAATTTTGTACATCTCCGCCACCGCCTCCAGCGTCTGCGGCAGCTCCTCCGGCGCACGGTGCAGCAAGTACTTGCCGAACTCCGCGCCGCTCTCTAGACTCGGCAGGTGCGCCAACAGCGTTTTCGCGACCAACTGCTGCACGAGCGTCTGCAGCACCGCGACCGCGCGCACCCACTGCGGCTGCGCGTAGTACGCCGCGTCCGGCTCACGCGCCTCTGGCGCCGCGTCCCCCAGCCGCGTCAGCGCCGCGTTCAGAAACGCTAGCGCGTGCACGTTCAGCGGCGTCAGCGCGCTGCTCGCCTGCAGCTGCGCCGCGTTCTGCAGCAAAGCGGCCACGAACGCACTCTGCATCTGCTGGAACGCGCGCTGCAGCGGCGGCGCGCGCCGCGCAAAGCTCAGCGCCGCTGCGTCCGTCGCGCAGTTCAGCACGCGCGCCACCGCCTTCGGCAGCGAGTAGAAGACGCACTGCTCCGCCAACAGCTGCCGGTAGCGCGTCGCGCAAATAACGCACAGCTTCGCAAATGGCGTCGCGCCCGCGCCCGTCGCCGGCTCGAACATCTCGAGCGGCACCAGCGCTTTCAGGTTGATCTGCAGCGCGCAGTTGCTCTCCGTCCAACGCACCGCGCTGTCCTCTACAAACGCAGCCGGCGTGAAGGCCTTGCTCACGTAGCTCTCGCCGACCACGTCGTGCAAAAACAGCGTTTCGCCGACCGCGCGCGCCTCCGCCTGCAGCCTCGCCAGCACCAGCGCTTCGTGCGCCGCACGCACCGCGCCCGCCGCGGCCTCCGCCGCTGCGCGGCTCGCGGCGTCTGCCACGTCCAGCGCCACGCGCGCTAGGCTGCTCAAAATCCACTCCACCAGAGCGCGCGCGCAGCACAACTGTTCCAGCGGCGTTACCTCCGCGAGCGGCTCTAGCTGCGCGGGCGCTGCAAGTTGCCCGCTCGCAAAGATCGCGCCCAGCAGCCCTGGCACGTTGAGCGCGCGCGCGTCCGCGCGCTCGCCTAGCGCCGCATACAGCAACACCGCCTTCTCCAGCAGCGCGCAGTACTTCGCCGTTTTTACCAGAGTCTCTAAAAAGTTCTGTGCGCTGCGCGCCAGGTCCTCCGCCACCTCGCGCTGCAGCGCCGCGACCGTCGCCGCATCTAGCGCTCCCGTCAGCAGCTCCATTTCCTCCGCAGTCCAGCCCTGCGACTTCGCGAACAGCCGCGGCAACCGCGCCGCCGCCTCGCGAGCCGAGGCCTTGGCGTCGAGCGCGCCCGCAGAGCTCGCCGCCGCCAGCGGCGGCATCCCGGCGCAGAGCGCGGATACGCGCGTGCGCAGCGCGAGCTCAACGAACTCCCGTAGTTCTGCGCAGCTGTACTCTGTGTCCGCGTGCTGCAGCAGCCGCTGCTGCAGCGCGCGGACCGCCTCGCACTGCGCGCGGCTCGTTTCGAGCCTGCACTTCGCCTCCGCGAGGCGCTGTAGCGCGTCGCGGCCCTCCGCTACGCC